TTTATTATATATATATATATATATATATATATATATATATATATTCGCGCACATAAATTTAATCAACAATCGAATCCCAAAGGTGCTAGGTACCTATGATCTGTACCGATTTGCGCCGATTGTAATTGATTGTTATCGCGTGATTAACAAATCTAATAGTATCATCTTTTAGTGCCGATGACAGTATGAGTTACAAATAATAAACATGAACGACAGCGATAAATGAAGAAATCTTAAAAGCGAAAAATAATTAATCAATTGCTTGTTTTTTAGATGCATATGTAATCCTCATTGTAATATTAATTTAAAACCGGGAGACCCGTTTAAATATATTTAAAAGTATTTTTTTGTATATTATATGATTTAATACCTTTCTGCAATATTCTATTATTAATACTGTTATATTATTAATTACAATATATTATTGTTATCATTATTATTATTATTGTAAGTCCTCGTTTTTTTAAAGAGTCGATTCTTTTTTATCAGAGGAAATTACAATACTATGATAAATGTAATGCCGTGTGATTAATACAATTTTATATGGATTTACTGATAAATGGCAATACAAGTTGGTTGACAATCCATGGATTAATATACGTTAAATCTATCAGTCTGCACGTTCATACATCCTAATATTTTGTATACGCCTAATTAGGGAATAATAGTCAGACTCGAGAAAAATATCTAGTTAAATCGTGATTGTAATTCTACACGTGCATATATTGTGACAAGTATTTTGGCTTTAAACACTTTACGGCGATCGATATGACAAAGTCTTTAGTAAAAAGATGTGTTGCAAAAGTATTAGAAACTATCGTGTAGATGTTCCTGAATACGTGAAAGTTAGAATAATCCTCTCGATATCTCAATTTGAAATTTCCGCATATTTTTATTTACGCATATTCTTATTGTTGATTCTGTAATTTGATCAGATGCGAATAATTTCTATACAACTTCCAGTATTGAGGAGTATCTGCGCTTAACATCGTTGATATCGTTGTGTATATTTAATGTAGCATGACTTTCTTTACATAAATTATTTTCCCTTTTTCTTTCTCATTATTTGTCTCGCTCATTCGAACAAACTCACGTCGGCATAATCCTTGAGTTGTACTACTTGAGACGAAAGAATCTGTTTCGAAAAGAGTTCAAGTAAATCTTATCTGAAATTACGCGTAGTCGCGTAGTTAAATAAATAACGAATGAAAATAGAGAGAAAAGAATCCAAGAGGAAGAGTCCAGAAATTGTGGTTCGTGTATGCGAATCCGTAATCCGTAATAAATTTGTCAGATTTGACAAGACGCAACGAACGAGATATGTTGAGAGCACGAGCGCGACGATTAAGATGCGACGATCGATTTTATTCTTATCATTTTACTTTTTTTGACAAAATATTTTGGTCCTGCGCTGCAATCAAAAAGTTTATGATATTTTTTTTTCTAATTAATTTTTCTATTTATGTGTCGATATTTATCAGTAGAGACCGATCAGGTCTTGGTTAAGAACTATATCGGTAGGGCTATATCGTTTATGCTGAAAAATGGAATTTCGGGGAATTCTTTGAGTGGGTAGACCGGATGGTCCTCGGACATATACGTAGGGCACTGGGCTGCGTAAAATTCTCTTCGGACTCTTCTTCGCGTGTTTCTTCTCCTTGTTGCTATTCCACTTGGACGAGGTGATCTTCAAACTCTGAAACGCTCGTCGTAGAGTCTCCGCGGTGGAAAGCCTCTTGAGAGAGTCGCTATCGCTACTACTGTGCGCATCCGAAGGGCTAGAGGGATACGAAGCAAGTGAGATACCACCCGCGCGAGATAGATTTCTGATGTTTTCAGGAGGGCTCCAAGTGCGCTCCGATGATCTCTGCACGCTAACGCCGAGTCGCTCTTGCGACCGCGTCGCACGCAGTCGTTCCGAATAGTAGTGCGTTCCCGGAGATCTGCTAGATCTGCTAGATCTGCACGATCGTTCACCGCTGTCTCGCTGTGACAGATGTTCGCCACTTCCGATACTGCCGCCGCTGCTGCAACCGCTGTCGGTGCTGCACTCATCATCACCAATTTCGCTCACGGATGTTCTACCTCCGTGACGATGATGATGATGATGATGATGATGATGATGATGATGATGATGATGATGATGATGATAATGGTATCGACGATGATGCTCTCGGTGATTGCTTAAATCGGTCAATTGCGTCGATTCTTCCATGTCGTTCGACATTTGATTTGCGTTGACCCGGAAATCACACACTTCTACATGAAACAACAAATTATTCAGAAAATTATCACGGATCGTGATAGATATCGCGTGTTAGATCACACTTTTATTACGAATGACTGCACAGATTTATCTTCTGTATACAGGATATTTTGCGAATGTGTCTCTACGCGTACTATCGCGTATCACCGCGTACTACGTATTTTTCGCGAAGAAAAGATCGAAAGTGGACTCTCGACACAAAGCCACTTGTTACTCGATACTTTCGGCAATTCCAAACATTCCGCTATATTTCTCTTTTTCGTTCAATCGATCGTTCGATCGTTTTCGTTCTGAATCGCTCTTTTTTTTCGTTAGGAGAATTATATCTTGCTCTCGAGATTAAACTGAGCTGGATGCGCTCGACACACGATCTTTTATACCCTCGCAGGTGAACGCGGAACACGCGCATGCCCCACCGTCCACGTGAGAATGCGTCTGTTACCGAGGATGCGTCTGTTATCGAGGGGGTAATAGGAAGCTGTGTAAAGCTGCATCGTACCAATCTCTCGAAATGTCACTAAACAACGCCAAACGGCAGTTTTTGGCTTTCGAATCGAGAAGACTGTGTCGAAGATTTAAAAGAGGACAATGTCAATTAACATCTCACTTGAGTATGATCCAAGTGCATCCCATCCTTGATGATTACAATAATTATGTTGACAATTGTTGACAATTTGTCAGTTACAATAAAAATTAGCTTCAAATTTCGAGAAATTAATATAATAATCTATTTTATTTTAACAGGTTTAACATTTGAGTTACATTTGAGAAATACACATAATACTTTCTGTTAAAGTATATAATTATATAATATATAATTTGGATACTATTTCCGAGCTATTTTCTATTTAGCCGTCTTAGAAAAATACGAAAAATATTTTTAGAGGAATCAAGGAAAGAGCGCGACAATGTTGCTTTTATTTTTATTAATTAAGTTATTAATTCTCGGTTGCATCGATTATTAGTAAGTATATATAAATTTGTTTTGTCTCACTACGCCTGTGTGTTGTCAATTGATTTTTTTTTGGTAATTATTTTTGGTCGTTTACTATAATTATGTCGCGTATAGTTGCGCGATTTTTAATATCTCATCACAAAATTCTAATTATACAGCAGATACAATCGTGATAATCGGATCAGACGAAATGACGGTGATCCCGTAACCGATATCCAAAAATATGATTTTAATTTCAAGATGCGTTTATTCTATCTCTCTCTCTCTCTCTCTCT